TATATATATATATATATAGAGAGAGAGAGAGAGAGAGAGAGAGAGAATAGTTATAATAACACCGGTTTAACTTTTACTAAGTATTACACCATTCAATAACTTTATATTAATTGTGAATTTTATAAATTTAACCGTTAAATTGAAAGTTCATAACATTTTATATATGCATATTAAATTTTGTTAAAATTGAACAACTTAAAGGTAATCAAAATGTTCATATTTTAATATATTTTGAAATGAATATATTACGTCAATTTTGTTTTATAAGAATAAAGTATCAAATTATCTTGGATTAATTTAAATTTTGTATATATGATCTAAGAGTAAATAATTTTCAATCTAACAGTTAGATTTACAAAATTCACATTTAATATAAAGTTATTGAGCGATGTAATACTTAGTAAAAGTTATACTGGTTATATTATAACCCTCCTCATATATATATATATATAGAGGGAGCATATCAAGTGAGAGGGAATTTATTATGAGAGATGAGAGAGTTAAAATATAACCCTTAGATTAATCAAGTGAGAGAAAATTAATCTAAAAATTATATTTTAACCCTGTCATCTCTCATAATAAATTCTCTCTCACTTAATATGCTACCTATATATATATAATTATATATATATTCATGTTCTTTCTCCGACAACTATGTTTTTGATGGGCTTCCTGTAAGAGAAAAAATATAAAACTGTACTTTACATTAATTTTAAAACCTTATCTGTTACCCCTTACAAATGTAGTGTATGTTTGGTTTGGCGTGAACCATTGAACTAAATCTTTTACTGTAGAAATCTTATTCTTGAAGCTATAAAGAGTTATGGTGCCTTCGGTATAAAAAGATAATTGTTTTTTCTTTCACTACACTGCAAAACCAAAGACATTATTAGTGGCTTGATATATGTAAGAGGGGTGCTAAAGTAATAATCAATTACTACAATCTTACAAAGTGACAATGATTAATGTAGTGTACGGATAAATTTTGCATGTAACATGGAAAGCTTTTTTCAAATTGATTGTTCCTGTAAAAGTTGAACGTAACGTTTGTTTGTCTTAATTCCATAAAATTCTAATCACTTAACATGATTACCTTCTGCTGAGAGAAATACAGTTGCTGCTTGTATTTAACGTAACGTTTTAAAGAATTTAAATACCTTGTCAAGATTCTCGCATGGAGCACTAGCAGCATAAGAAATTTTTAATATGATATTCAAGTTGTGAGACTCTCACTTAATAAACTATTATTATTGATTGATTCTCCTCTTATTATACTCTATACTTAGATGTTATGTTAGAGTGCTTATTACAAATAAATAAATTAATTAAAATTTATAGATAATTTCGTGGTATATTTTTATTATCTATATTAAGCAAGAAAATTAAAATTATTTTTAAAGAGGTTGAATTTTCAAAATTCGCAAGTTCTCTTATTATTCTTTATCTTTTATAGTGATATCGTTGTCAATAAAATTAATTATTGATTATTTGATATTATTTTTGTTAATTTACTGACCCTTTAAAATAACATATCTTACATGATTGTATAGTTGTAATTATGTAATTATATTATTAATTAGTCTAGATGAATCTTATTATTTAATAGAGAATTATCTAGAGGAAAACATACAAAATTTTTACAAACAAAATTTTTATTTCAATTTCTCTAAGTTTTACATGGTATCAGAGTTGAATATTGGTCTATGTCCGAAAGATATTCTAAGATTATTTGATTATGGAAACTTTTTTCGAACTTGGTTATTCACAAACACAACTTACTCAATTACACGCTGATAATAACAGTACCATACAGATTGCAGCAAATCTTGTATATTATGAAAGAATGAAGCATATAGAGGTCGATTATCATTTAATTAAGGAAACCTATGACTGAAGAATTATCACTCTACCTCATGTCTCAACATCTGTTTAAATAGCTAACATCCTTATTATATCTTTGACACGTCAACAACATAATTTCCTAATTAGCAAATTAATGCTTCTAAATTTACAAGCATCAATTTGAGGGAATGTCAATAGAATTGATAGCAGATTATTAATTATTTTCGTTGATTTGTTGTTCCTTTGAAATAATATATCTTACACGATTGTATAATTGTAATTATGTAATTATATTTTTAATTAGTCCAGCTTAGATTAATATCTTTTAGCAAATTTTAAGACGAAATCGAATTGAAATGTTATTATTTAATAGAGAATTCTCCATAGCAAAACATACAAAATTTTCACAAAATATTAATACTCATTTTGAAAATATTTTAACAAGACTCTATATCTGCTGTTGGGATACAAACAAGTCCCACATCGATAAAATAAAACAAAAAATAACAACTTATATAATACAAACATACTTCAATGATTGAGAGGTTTATTGGGTGATGTCCAAAAATAAAACCGTGAGGGCTTAGTCCCAAAGTGGACAGTATCTGCAAGAAAAAGTTTTTAAATTTTCTATCATACTTTTTATTTATTAAATGAAAATAATAAATATTATTTTATATTTTTAAGATAATAAATATATTTGTTTTCTTCTTTACAAAATATTAAAAAGATCAATAAAATGTAGTAAAAGAAGATATAATATTTTTTTTCTTAAAAGCTACTGTTAATGTAAGTGTCTTAAAAACACCATTTAAAGACTTAATAAATATAAAAATTTCGATAAATATATATTAAAAATGACAACAAAAACACATTTAAAATATTTTCTCATAACTTTTAGTTTCCAATTTCTCAAAGATAAGGGTACTATTGTCGGTATTGATGAGTGTTGATTTTACCTTTAAACGACGACACTGTGATCATGAATAGCATAACCATAAATACACCTTCTTTTGTTTCTCTAAGAAGAAAAGGGGCACGCATAAAACATCGCTGTAGGTAATAAATCTAACTTTATAGTTACTTTTATTATCTCATACTTTCTCCCAATTTTTTCTCTAATGAATCACCCCAGATTTAGACACTGTCCAATATTAAACTTCACTTTTGCTTCCCCACTCTCAGATCCTTTCGCACTACCTTGAAAAGGTCTGAATCGGTGTTCCATGCTTTCTAACTTGGTATCTTTCAGCGTTCTTTTTGTTTTATCAATGCAATTTCTGAGTCTTTTTTTTTTATTTTTTTAAATGAATTTGAAGCAAATAAGTTTGATCGTGGTGAATATTAGTCCACTGGGTTGTTTGGTGGATGCTGAGTGATATAGTTCTGTTTCATTATTTTACTGTATAGTTACTGTTAGGAATTTCGGGAGTTTCCCTTGTGTGACTGCTTTTATGTTTGTCATTTATTTGGAGTGTTTTTTCCCCTCTTTTAACGGTTTTGGATAAAATTTTGATTCTATTATACTTGTTTCTGTGTAAATTTTTCGTGAAAAAGTTTACTGTAATGTACAGAAAACATATGAAATTCCTGTCGTGTCGGTATTATTGAATTTATGTAGAAATGAGTTCAATTAGTTTATGTTCACAGCTTGTTTTGTTCTTTAGTTAAGTTAATCATTACTATCAGTTCTTAAGTCATGTTGTAAACATTCCTTAGTTTTTGTTAGTTTGTGGATTAATCCTTGGTTTGCCTATCTGAGAGTGTGTTTACACAAGAAGGGCTAGTAACACACTCTTTATTATTGGTTAATTTATTGTAAATTACAAAATCACAAGTGAGACTGAAGTGGGATCTGCAAATTTTTGTGATTTCCCAAAAATTTCAACCAATAGCAGGGAGTGTGTTCGAAAAATGTGTTAGAGAGTGTGTTGTTAGAATTTCTTGTGTTGACATGCACACAAAAAAATCAAGTGTGGGGATTGGAGTTACGTGGATGAAGAATGTGATTGATCTTTGATGTAATGGTAAGCAATTTTGGAGGATTTGAGATGATACAGATGTTGTTTGCCTGCCATTTTTAAATTATTAAAAGTTTTCTAGCTCATGCAGTTGAAGAGACTTTTTTTTCTGCCTTTAAAGAATGAAGAGATCTTAGCATAGGATGTTATGCTGATGAGTTTTTGTTATTCAATAAAGGAGGCAGAGAAATGTAGTGGTGATATTATAGTACTAGTATTATGTTACACACACCCCTAGTATGTGATAAACTTCTCACCATCTTCTCTTGCAGTATTGTTATTATATTTTTTCATTACACCACTGGAATAATAACTGTGGTGGGGTAAATTATTCATACACAGAAGTGTTTGTTAGAATAACAGAAGTTTTCTTTCTTCTTCCCTCTCCTCCACCTTAAATTATAAAATATTGAATTCCTTATAAACCTTTTATTTGTTTGCAGACATGTATAAGAATCGGTTGCAAGAATTGGCTCAAAGAAGCTGTTTTAATTTGCCAGCCTATTCATGTATTCGGGAAGGACCAGATCATGCTCCACGCTTTAAAGCAACTGTCAACTTTAATGGGGAGACCTTTGAAAGCCCTACATTCTGCTCTACTCTTAGACAGGCTGAACATGCAGCAGCTGAGGTGGCTCTTAACACTCTTGCAAAAAGAGGTCCCTCTAGAGCTTTGGCTGCAAGAGTTCTGGTGAGCAGTTGGGAAATATCATAATCCCTCTTTCCTAGATCTCAGTTATGTTTCTTTCTTTCTTCAAAATTATAATTACTTGGTTGACTTGTCTAGTGCATCATGATGGCTTATCCACTGTCATTTGATGTGTCACGTTTTCAATCTTGAATGTTGGAACAAGTTATCATATGGTCCCACTGTTTTCGTCAATTATTGGAAAAAAAAACAATTCTTCCTATAAAAATATTCAATATTATAATGTTGATTTTTGTTAAGGAAGAAGCTGGTAGACGTAGAGACCTCACAAAACAAAAGTAGTAAATTGATTTTGTAAAATGAAGCATTTTGTTCTATTGGAAATGCAAAAATCATTTAGCAATTATTTTTTAGGTAATTAGAAGCATTTAATGAGGTGTATTTGATGTTTTTAACCAGTGTCCTTGGGGCCCTCCTTATCTTGTACCTCTCTATGGGTGAAAATGTTAAGCAACCAATATCAAGGCTAATTATACATAGTTCCCTATTTTTTTTTATATCATTTTTATAGTATTCTAGTTTTTCCTCCCAAGGATGTAGAGGATGTTTGATTCCTTAAATTTAAATTTTTACAACCAAATAGGATAAATGAATTTATTTCAGATTAAGAATGAAATTATACCCAGTGTTAGGAGTAAATGCTGAAAAAAAATTTCCATTGCATTTAATTGTAGTGTTCTTCATTTCTTTTCTCCTTTTCTTTTAGACGATGAGAAGTGGGATGAATTATATTCATCACTTCTATTAAAATCCTTCCATTCCACCTTTTTTTATTCGGATATTTACAGGATGAAACAGGAGTATACAAGAATTTGCTGCAGGAAACTGCGCATAGAGCTGGACTGAATCTTCCTGTTTATACAACCATTCGCTCTGGACCAGGTCATGGTCCTAACTTCTCATGTACAGTCGAGATTGCAGAAATGCATTTTACTGGAGACCCCGCTAGGACCAAGAAACAGGCTCAGAAAAATGCTGCAATGGCTGCTTGGTCTGCATTGAGAAAATGTGAGCATTTTGCTTCTGTAAATTTTCTTGATGTCTACACATGGAATATTCTCTATTAAGCCACTTCAATTTGGCTTTTTCATCTTCATTTTAACATACTTCCAGGTCTTAACTTTATATTATATTTGTTTTTAAAATTCTTTCTAGTTTCAGAGGATAGTTTATCTTCAACTTCATCCTCACTTACTCCAGAGTGTAAAGGCGAAGAACAAGAACAAGTCATCATTGCTCGAGTCCTTGCGAGTTTACACTCTGCTTCAAATAAATTTTCCAAAAGTGATAATCAACATGGATGGCAAAAGTCTGCTACGTCTTCTTTGGTGTCAATCCAGTCAAATGCAGACATGTATCCGATGCAATGCCAGCATTGTGGAATCTCTAGTTTATCACCGGAGGTGGCTCTATATCAGATGTGGCAGCAAGAACAAATTATGCAGCAACAAAATCGTCTATTGGCACTAACCATTCAACCAATTATTCCATCAGCTCCACAGATTTATCCGTCTGTGTTCCAGCCAGATCACTGCCTTTACTTTCCAGCTAGAGAGTTAGCATCAGTTCCTGTAGGACCAAAATTCTCTATTGCTACATCAACCCCTTCATTTTACTTATCAAACCAAATTGTTCCCGAGTTAAATACTGGCAGGTCAACACTAACCATCAGAGAGATACAAGAAGAAAAAACAGAAGATACTCCGGTTTGCACATTTAGCAATGAATCAAGAGTCCTAACACCAGCTCCAGAGGATGAGAGACAGAAGCAAGGTGAAGGCTCTGGAAGCAGAGGTAGAAATGCTGAGCTGGGAGGAGAACAATGTGAGAAATCTGAATGGGATTCTCATTGGAGCATGGGATCTGTACACAGACCAGTTAACACTGAGCTGCAAAACCCATCCAGTATTGGCTCATCTATTCTCAGATCACATTCACAAGTAAGTTCCAACAGAAGTTTTAGACCACCAGCTGCTTCATCATCTTCCATTGTGAGAACAATGTGCCCTACTTCATATGTGGGTTCAAGACCACAACATGGGGAGGTACCTCTGGCTGTTGCTTCAAGGTTGAGAACTGGAATCCCACGAAATCCGGGAATACCTACCTCTGAAAGGTTTAGCATGATAAGAGCACCTGCTCCTCTATTTATGGCACCAGCTGTGAGAATCAGATCAGTGGTTCCAGTCTGCTCAGCTCCTCCAAGGAGATCCATGGCAGAGGCATCCAAAAGCAAGGAAAAAGAGGATTTAAAACCTGAAGACAGAGAGGTGTCAAGAACTAGCTCTGAGCTTGGCCATCTTAGAATATGAGTGATTATACATACTAGAGATTAAGAAGTCTAGTGGTTTCTTTCCAAATAACAAGGTGCCTTTGCATGTATTTTGCTGGAAAGAATAGGCTTCTCCGTGATAATTTTATGTCAAACAATAAATTTGAAATACAGAAATAGATATAAATATGGCATAAAATTTTATTGAATGTGTTAAAACTAGTCCGGAGGATGACTCAGTAAGAAGGCTGGGTTACATAGTTAACCATCTGTTCTGGGATAAGCAATTGAACTAGAAAAGAATATTATATGAATAAATATTTCGTAATTTTTTTTTTGTAAAGTAGTACTGTATTAAAAATATTTTATATAAAGTGTTGCATGAAATAAGCAAATTAGTTGCGATTACGGTTTAATATCATGTTTTGATTACGAGCATATAGGGCAATTATAAGCAATAGACTGGTTAGTAAAGAGGTTTTTTTCTTCACAAGATGTGGGTTAAAGGAGTGCCTTCACAGGTATTATTTTTTGTGTGGACGGCTGCACAAAACAGAATTCCTTCCATGGAAAATCTGGCTGAAAGGAACACTGTTCAGGTGCAATTCAATTCAAGGTTTGTGGTGAGGGAGTAGAAAACTTGAGACAACTTTTTTTTTTTTTTTTTTTATGCAAAGTAGCGAGTAAGATTTGGAGTGAAGTGTTACTTTGGTGGAGTTTTAATTTGTTCAAATATGCATAATGAGGTAATGTGTCATTTTCTACAATTTCGTGGCCTTTTGAGTAGTAGGGAGGTGACAGTTTGCAGGTGGTCTATGGTGTGGTATGCAGTGATGTGGGAAATATGGTTAGCTAGGAATAAATGTGTTTTTGATCTTATAGAAATTACAATGTCAACAACAGAGTTCATTTGAACTTAAGTCTTGTACATGTTGTTTCAACCCTCTGCCACTTTAATTATTCTTTATCTAATTGGATACTAAACCCAAAGGCTTGTTTAGGTGTTTTGTGGAGCATCAAGGAAATTTGGGGATTGGAGGTCTCGTTGGTATGAGATTTGAGGAGGGAAAGAAAGGTGGATCGACTTGTGTATGTTAGAATGGCTAAAATGGAGTGAAAGGTGGGTTTGGAGTTGGAGTGTGTCAATATTAATGTTAAATATCAGGCAGTACAAGTTGTTGTGGAGTGGTTGGATGTAATGTTGGCATTAGGGAGTTAGTTGCAGATGTTGATTTTATTTCTATTTTGGATGGTTTGGGATACTGTTTTGTTAGTATAATTATTGTTAAGAACTACAACTATTATTTGTATTATTAAAATAATATATGTATCAAAATAATATTAATTTTTATATTATAAGTTAATTTTGTAAGATTAAGTTATACATATTATTTTTTATACATTTTACATATTGATTCATTTTCTTTCGCTTAGACTACTTGTGCTGTCAATGCCATTATGAAATCATTCAATGCCATTATGAAATCATTGCTTTTTTTTATTTACTTTTTTATAATTTTGTTTTGCTTTTCCAAAAATATTGCAATCCTTACATTATTTGATTATATTGGGTTCCTTTTACAAATACGAAACTAATTATCAAATTGGGGTGTTAAATCAGCGTGTAAAGTGCCACATTAATGTTTTTTTTTTTGTTAAATTGAATTTTGGAGGCAAAAACGTAAGCAAGCGGGACATTGTAGTGAAACTAGTACTTTCTGGTGTCCCACATATAAACGATATGTAAGTATAAAATTTTCATTTATATATATATATATATATATATATAGAGGAA